AACGAAGTACCTAAGACGACGTTTGACCCCACAATAGCAAGTGCTACCACAACAAGGCAGACAATTTGGCTCTTGGGTCTAGACACTGGCCCCAACATGGCCTTCTGTCCTGGCCATTCACTTTGGGAACCTCCTGGCCCACGGAAGTGTCTCTGTTCATGAGCCTGGTAGGCTGGGCTTGGGATGAACTAGAAGAGAGCTTCAGAGAAGGCTCAGAAGCAGTGAGTGGGAGTTCTGCCACCAGACTCGATAGCATCTGCTCCATCTGCAGCCCACCATTGTCAAAGTTCTTTCATACCCCACGCTAAAGATCCCTCCAGTGGCAATTACTGTCACTTTCCTCCCCCCACACTTACGATGGGAGAGAGAGGGAGGTCCAGAAAAGGGCAGTGAATTGGTCCAAGGTCACCCAGTCATTGTGTGGGGAGCTGAGACTGTGCCAGGTCTGGTTCTGCAGCAAGTCCCTTTCTTAATGACTTTGCTCACTGTCCCTGAGACCACTTGCCTCTGTCTCACCCCAGGTGACTTCAGTGGGCTCCCTCTAGCAGCCTGGAGGTCTGCCAGAGGGGCTGTGAATTCTGCTAGGAGAAGGATGACAGACACATTGGAGACACATTGGAGGCCAGGGCAGCCAGTGACCAGTTTCCTCCATACACTTCTGAGCATCAGGAGCAAGAGTCACAATCCCTCCCCACCCAACTCCCTTCACCCAGACAGAACTTCCTACAAAATGCTTGCTCATTAAGGAACGCTCCCCAGTATCTAACCTGGAAGGATCATGATCCTCACCCAGCAATACCTGCCTACTGCAGTGTTCGTGTAGACAAAACACCCACTAAGTGCTTAGCACTGGTACGCAACCACACACCTGGTGATTGAATGCATTACTGGCTCCCCATTTTACAGATGAGGACTCAGGCCTTGGGGCCCTCAGCACATGAGTAGGTAGCAACACTGGGCTCTGGGCCAAGGAGCAATGGATCTGGGCCTGGGCTCCCAGCCACCATGCTGACTCCTGACCAGGGCTGGTGGGGCTGGGGTCATTGGTAAGAGCAGTCACCTGACTTTGCTGGAATCTGACCATGGTGGAGGCCCCCTCCTGGGCTGGTCAGAGAGATGGCTTTCTAGGAATTTTATACCTTGGCAGAGGAGAGGGGTCACTGGTGTCCTGCACCACTTCTTACCCCATCATCTATTGTTTGGTAGGTCTACAAGACAACATGACCAGACATGGAGGTGTGGCTCCCCTAATAACCACCACCCTGAACTGCCAGGACCAGGGTAAATGAGGACAGAGTAGGGGTACAGGGAGCCTCAGCCCTCCAGGCTGTGAGTTTCTTTAGGATCTTTAGGTTTGAAAACCTTTGCAAGTGCCTCTCTCCTCCCCAGCACTCTCTTGAGATAACCACATCCTGGCGCCATCCCCCAAACAGCCCGCAGAAACCTCAGTACTAGCTGAGGATGGTGGCAGCTGACACCAGGCACCTACTATGTGCCTTACACTGTACCAGAGACTTATCCATGTTGTCGTCAGCCCTCTGAGGGGCTGCTACTCTGCCCCTTGTCCTGATAAGAAAACTGAGTGCAGGAAGTGACTTGCCCAGAGTCACCATCGCTGTGTCCTATGCAGGCAGTTCAAGGTTTGGAACCAAGGCCTGGGAGCACCTAATACTGTGGTTGGGAACGAGTTTGGATTCTCGGGGGAGAAGAGAGCTTAAGGTTGCTTGCCTTGACCTTATGGAATTGAGGTGTTAAAGTGGTAAGCGGTCCCCGTCCATGCAGCTTTCACAGCCTCGGTTTCCCTATTTCTAATAGGACTTCTGCTGACGGTTTCTTAAACCTGTCACCGGATTGCCGGGAAGGGGCTGACATTCCAGAGTGCAAGCTTCCCAGGCTCTTCGCCAAGGAGGTGGCCTCACTGACTGAGGAGGGGGCACACGGTCCCTTTACAGCACCGGACTCAAAAGGATGGCCACCTCAGGGCTCTTCCACCCACAGGCGCGACACCCCGCCCCCGTGTTCGGCCCAAATCTACACCTTTGAGGCTGAGGGCTCCCTCCACACACAGCGCGAGGCCTCCCGAGATGGGGTGTTTGCAGACCCAGCATTCTTGTCCGAGGAACCCCTGGGGTATCTGGGGACAGGAGTGGGAGGGAGGGCTAAAAACCTGGGAGCCCGAGGGGGTGTGCAGCCCGGGGAGGGCAATGAGGACAGCCAGGGCGCTGAGTGTGAAAGTCAGGGGTGTGCGTGCCGCGCGAACGCAGGGGAGGCGTGTAAACAGCGGGGCGATCCGCGTGTGTGCACCCGCGGGGCGGCGTCCGGGCGCGGGGCGATGCGCAGTGCGCGGAGCGGCTGGGCCGGGGAAGGGCGCCCGGCGTGCGCTGTGCCCGGCGTTCGCGTGCAAGTGCGGGGCCCCGGGTGCGGGGCGCGGGAAGGGGGAACTGCGTGCGGTCGCAGGGCGCGTAGCCCCGCCGCGCGCTGAGGTGGACCCAGGGCGTACTCACCCCGGCTCCGCGGAGGGACCTCGGATCCGAATCGGGCTCCGACTCGGGCTCGCTGCTCCGGGCGGGCCTCCCGCAGCGCGTACGCACCGGCGCCAAGCCCCGCTGCTGGCCGCAATGCCAGCCCTGCAGTGTCGCCCGGCGCCCGCCTCGGAGCAGCGTGGTGCGGGTCGGGGGCTCCACCGGGCCGGGAGCAGACGGGAACAGCGCCGCAGTCCGGGCACGCTCCCAGGAGCCCGCCGCGCGCTCCCTCGCGCTCGCCCGCCCGCTCCTTCTTTAATTTAAAGTGACAACCCCGAGCGCTCTTTCCACTCCGGGGAGCGGCGCGGCGCTGTCCTTGTCTGAGCTGGAGATCCCCAAGCGCGCCCCGGAGTCCCGGGGGCGCCGAGGCCAAGCCCAACCCCTCGCTCCCAGGCCGTGCTTCGGGGCCGTGCAGTGGAGAGCGGACGTGCACACTCAGGACGTGCGCCCTGAGGGACGGGTGGAGCACTGGACGTGGAATCAGAAGGCCTGGTTTCTCGTCCAGGCCTATTGCGCCCCGCGTTCTTCTGTTCCCTTTCTAGGCCTCAGTTTCTTTACCCGTAAAACGGACTGCCCATGTGTCCGGAGCCAAAGAAAACACACCCGCAGGGGGCGCAGCCCTTCTCCGAATGGATAATCTCTTCCCAGGACTGTTACTGTAGGCCAGATCGGTGCTGCTCCCTTACAACATCATCTCACGTAATCACCACAATACCCTAATCCGGTCGTGGCCACTCCATTAAAAAAAAATAAAATAAGGAAATAGACTCAGAGAGGAGACCAAGGTCGCAGCGCCAAAGGTCAGAGTCAGAACATGAACCCAGGACTGCATGACTTCACAGCCCTTCCTTTTCACCGATTAGGGGCATGTGTTCTCCCCCAGAGGAATGAATGAATCATTCAGGAGATTTATGACGCCCTCCCAGGGCTCTTGGCACAGTGCCAGGTGTGGGCGATCTCCCATCTTCCGGGAACAGGGCACAGGTCCCTCCCTGCCCGCGCAGTCTGGCAGGAAGACAGGGCACGCATTAAGAGGGACTGGGTATGTGGGGGAAGGCACCACGTGTTGGGCACAGTATTCATTAGAGCAGGTTGGGTAGACACCTGGAGAAGTGTCTGGGAGGAGCTGGGAGCCTTTGGGATGGGGTGAGGATCCTGCGGGTAGTCTACACGCAGAGCCCCTGGAGATGAGAACGTGTGGGCACTGCCCTCCCAGCAGAGGCTGAGTCTGGGTCTGTGCCAGCCTTGTGCAGAGCTGACAACCTTGGTCCAGAAGGTAGGGCCTCAGGGAGCCCCGCCAGAGAGGGCTGCAGGGTCACCCTCACCCCTAGGAAGCGCCCTTGCATTCATTTCGTTTCCTGGTCCTGGAAGAGACAAAATGCATTAGTTAAGTCTTGGGGCTGAAGGAGGGAGGGGATACGGAACCTTGGACTTTTGCTGCCATTTCTCGTTTAATTTCACTGTCACCTGCAACTTTGGTAAGGCTGGGCCCATTCTCTAAGAAGACACCAAAGTCTAGAAATGATTGGGTTCCCCCTTGGGGAGGGAGAGGGCAGTTAGAAACACCATCTGGGCTTCTGTTGGAGCAAACAAAGGCTGGTCTGGTCCAGGTTTGTTTTTTGTTTTTTGTTTTTGTTTTTGTTTTTGGTTCTTTTCGAGGTACTGCAGTTTGAACTCAGGGCCTCCTACTTGCTAGGCAGACATTTTCTCACTTGAGCCACCTCCCTTGCCCTATCCCCAACCCAGATTGGTCCAATTCTGGTGTAACCCTAGGGGACTGTTGTAGGAACTGGAGTGAGCTTGAAATGAAACCTTGTCAATGTCATGTTTAAACCATTCAATGACCAGAAAAGCATAAGCAGGTGCACCAAAAGACAAGACTAGACTGTTGGCAGTGGCTCCAACTGGAAGCCACCAAGGCCCATCACCATTTGCTGATGTAAATGCATCGTGGTACCGTGGCTCCATGGGTGCTGCACAGCAAAGACAAGAAGCAAAACTATAGCCACCGATGAAAGGGGGGTGAAGAGCACAAACCCGCTCAGCTACAGAAGGCAGACACCTAAGAACACGCTATTTGATTCTGTTTACAGAAGTTTCACAAACAGACATGGCATATATGCAAGTATCACGATAAAATCCCTTCATGTAACTAATGTTTACAGAAGTTTCACAAACAGACATGGCATATATGCAAGTATCACGATAAAATCCCTTCATGTAACTAATGTATGCTAAATAGAAAAAAAAAAAGAACAAAACACTCAGGATGGTGGTTCCCATGGAGGCAGTAACCCAAAGGGGCCTGAATGTGGGGCTAGGGTTTGGGTAAGGTTTGAGTGTGTCCTCCAGGGGTTCATGTGTTAGAGATTTGGTCTTTGCAATGTGGTGTTGCTATGAGGTGGCAGGATGTTTAGAGGTGGGGCCTGGTGGGAGGTCATTAAGTTAGTTTATTGGAGGCTGCTGCCTTTGGAAGGGATTAAGGTGGTCTCACAAGACCCTGGTTAGTTCTCTTGAAAGGGCTGTCATAAAAGAGCAAGACTTGCCTCTCCCGGGCCTCTCTGACTTCCTGTCTTGCCATGTAACCTCTCTGTTTCAAACCATGATGACATCTGTCGTGATGTGACTCTGCCAAGGGGTTCCCTCACCAAAGACAGAATCAATGGAGACACTCAATCTGGATCTTTCACCTTCTAAAGCTGTGAGCTTGGGCTTGGTGGAGTAGCTCAGTGGTAGAGAGCCTGCCTGGCAAGTGAGAGGCCCTGAGTTCAAACCCCAGTACTACCAAAGGGAAGAAAAAATAAAGCTGTGAGCTAAATAATCCTTTTTTCTTTCCTTTTTTTTTTTTTTTTTTCATATTGAGATAAGGTCTTTCTACGTAGACCAGGCTGGCCTTCAACTTGAGATTCTCCTGCCTCAGCCCCTCCTGAGTACTGGGATTACAGAAGTGCACCACCATAGCTGACTTAAAACCTCTTTTCTTTATGCATTACCAAGCCTCTAGTATTTTGTTATAACAACAGAAAATGAACTCAGGAGGTTCGAGAGTGTTTCTCCTGTGCTGTCCCAGCTTGGCTCTCAGAGCTGGTCTCCCAGGTGTGCTCACTATGTGAACATTTATGGCATTGCTCACTTATGATCCATCTACTTTTCTGCATGTGTGCTACACTCTCCAATTTTCGAAGACACCTTGCGTGGCTGTGGGCTTTACTGGACATAGAAGGCAAAATCCTTGTGTGGCCCACAGGCCCTGATGATCTGGCCCTGATGGCTTTTCAAGCTGTCATGCCTCTACGCTCTCACCCACCAAGCTCCTGCCTCCTGTACCTTCTGGTGTTCCTGACACCTGCCAAGCCATTTTCCACCTCAGGGACTCTCTCGATTGCTGGTCCCTCTGCGTGGAAGGTGTTTTCCCTGCTCTTGCCAAACCTGTGCCCTTGTCTTCTACACATCACCCTAAAGAAGTCGTTTCTTCAGAGAGGCCCTCCTGACTACTCTGCCTAGAGGGGAGCTGCACCCCACTAATGTCTCCCATGGCATGCTGTTTATTTCTTTCAAACACAGATATAATCTGCAATTATTTTATGTCTTTGTTTGTAGTTTATTTTCTGCATCCCCCCCGCACTGGACTAATCATTGCACACTTACTGTTAGGTTTTTTTTTTTCATTTTTATTTTTTGGTGGTACTGGAGTTTGAAGTCAGGACCTCACGCCTGCTAGGCAGTCACTGTGCACTTGAGCCACTCTGCCGGCCCACACTTACTGTTAGGTTAAGGTCAAGTGCTCTTTAACCCTTGGGTTGTACTATTCTTAGCCCCATTTTACAGCTGAGGCAGGTGGGGCTCAGAGATGTTATGTAACTTGCTCTCAGCCACACAGCTGGAAAGCAGTAGAGCCAGGATTTGAATGTAGCAGCTTGGCCCCAGAGTCTCTGCTCTTAACTTCATCCTTGGACAGACTTTCTTGATCTTCCTTTTAGAGTATCTGGGACATTCCTTGG